CCATCATCATCATCATCATCATCATCATCATCATCATCATCATAATATAGATTTATTACAGCCATCCCACTCCAAAAGACTCTGAACTGCTGCCTGGAATAGCAGCTCAACACCCCAGAACAGAACAAGGTATAGAAATATGTTCTTACAGAAATATATTGTGAACCAATGGTGTCCACAGATGGGGTAGGTGGCGGGAGATTGTATATATAATATTCTGCACGGACCTTGTTGCCCTGAATTTGTTCAATGCTTCAACCAACTTTATTCCTGGACTTGCTCCCTTGAAGGAATTCAGCCTCCCCCCCCCTTTTTTTCTTTTGATTTTTGAGCTGCCTAAATGTGTGACTGATGCTGCTATGCCCAAGGAGCCTGGTTTGGAGGTGACCCATTAATTCTGGCATTTGGCTTCTTCCCTGATCACCTTTTGTATATCGGATGCCAAGAGATTCTTAAGAATCCTCTTGGCAGACAAAACAGTAATGACTTTTTTTAAAAAGGGTTGGTGGATTTTCTCACTCTTATTTGCCACCATTAAAGTTGCAGCCAGTGAAGCAGAGTCAAGCAGAAAATAAAGGTATGGATTATGAAGCATGTTGTTCTTTGCATCTGTGTGATTCTTACAATTTATTGTTAAAAAGTATATGTATAGTCTTGCCTGCCTCAAATAAGGTATGTTTTGTTACAAAGTATGGTTTGGGGCCTTTGTTTGTGTTGGCTCAGTGATGTTAATGTTGAGCCTAATTGAATTACATATCTAGGGCTACCTGATCAAAAATCCATGGTTGTAAAAATCTTAGACACCATGAGAAAATATCAGAGATATACAGAAAACTTTACTCTCTGTAGCCACCTAGATGTTTGTAACTCCAATCTGACAGCTTTTGCACCTATAGTTTGCAGGAAGATATAATCTTAAACTATATATTATGGAGGATTATCCTACAAGTTTTTGACTTTCCTAGTGATTGGTGTGCTATGCTAGCATAGCTTGTTTACTATGATGAACCAAAGCTCAACTTCCAGTAATGATGTAACATTAATTTCATGTAAAGGCAGCCCGAGATTATCCACCACACGAAACAGTTTAGAGAGACTGAAAAGGGGTATCTAAAGGGTTTGGTGAAAAAAATCAAGACGATGGCTGTGGTGGTGCAGCTGACGTTCTGCCTGGTTTTTACGTGCATCGCGACATATGAAAATCAGGCAAAGCTTTGATTGCACCATCACAACCATCATCCTGACTTTTTTTTACCATACCTTGAGGACACCCCTGGTGGGTCATTAACTCCATATGATGCGCACACATTCAAAATTGCTCTTGTTATGTCTTTGCAGGCAAGGTATTTGTCCACTGTGCTATGGGGTTAAGCCGTTCGGCCACTTTAGTGGTGGCTTACTTGATGATCCATGAAAACCTGACACTTGTGGAAGCCCTGAAATCAGTGGATTCTCACAGAGGCATCTGTCCAAACACAGGATTCCTCAGCCAACTCCGAACCTTGGACATCAAATTAAACAATGAAAAAAAAAAAGTATCATAACACTGTGGGAAAAGGGGACTGAAAGCAACTGCAAATATAGGAATTTAGAGTATTAATGCTTTCATCTGGAATAATTCACTCAGCAAAACCTTCTTTTACTGAGACGGGGGGGGGGCGGGAAATGTTCCATTTTATGTAATAAAACTCAAGGAGCACAGTGAAAAAATAGGACTAAAATTAAATGTAAAGAAGACCAAACTCATGACAACAGGTACAACAACCAGCCTTAGAATTAACAATGAAGATATTGAAGTGGTAGATAGCTTCTACCTTTCAGGATCAACCACCAGTAGTAAAGGAATAAGCAAGCAAGAAATGCATCACAGACTAGCACTTGGTAGAGTAGCCATGAAGGCCTTGGAAAAGATATTCAGATGCCGTGATGTGTCTATAGCTACAGAGATCAGAATAGTGCAAGCCATGGGATTCCTTGTGATACTCTATAGAAAGGAAAGTTGGACTTTTTAAAAAGCAGGATAGAAAGAGTATTTACAGTTTTGAACTCTAGTGTTGGAGAACACTCCTGAAAATACCATGGACAACCATGTACTGGTCTAAGACTGTAATAAACTGTGAAGCATGAAGAAGCATGGACAACCAAGAAAACAGACAAAAAGATCATTGAATAAATCAACCCACAGTTCTCACTTGAGGCACAAATGACCCGGCTCAAATTATCCTACTTTGGACACATTATGCAAAGACCTAGCTCTCTGGAAAAGGCTCTGATGCTGAGAAAGGGGGAAGGAAAGAGAAGAAGAGGACGACCAACAGAAAGGTAGATGGGCTCAGTTACAGTGGTGATGAGTACACCATTGGAAGACCTGAAAGAGCAGGATAGGGATAGATCATGCTGGAGAAAATCTATCTATGTGGTTGCTAAGTGTTGGCACTAACTTGATGGCACATAATCAAATCATTTGATATGGATTAAGTTCAAAACTAGATAGTACTATTGATCTTCACCCAGTGGGATATGATCCACATCAGGAAGTCTACCTCCCCTGGCAGAAATCCCAGCTATTCCATCATCATTTCTGCCTTTTGGAGAGAGAGAAAAGAAGAAAAGGAAGAAGAGTGGGAGAACATCAGAAGAAGACAGCAAAAGAGAGTTGGAACTAGTAAAAAAATAAATCCAATGAGTTCTATGTCCCCAAACTCCAAGAGTTATTTATTTATTGACTACATATAGCCCATATGCTGTATTTTCTAAATAAATACACTATCTCCATGGGAAGTTTTCCTACAAGGACCTCTTCAGATTAATGGGAGCAGAACTTCCATAGCTCTCATTCACTGCAATGGAGATTGTCTCAGAAGAACTTCTTGGTGGAATGTATCCATGGAGGAACAGGAGGTTTGGAAAATCAAGATGGCAGCCACAACCTTATGATTGAAGGCCCGCACATTATTTACATGTATTGCCTCTGTGATGCATGTAAAATTAGGGAGGCATTTCAGTCGTGCAGTTATGGCCACCATCCTGATCTCATCGATCTCTCCTCACAAACGCCCTGGAATTTATGGTTCATTTCCATCCTTGTCATTTATTATTAATTAAAAAGTGTCTTTCCTGTATCGAGTGTGGTACATAAAAAGAAAAAAGCGGGTTCTCCCCTGTAAACCTATTTGTTCATATGTTACTTGTTTTACAATTTTGCTTTGCACGTTAATTTTAAAATAATTTAATCTTTTAAAATTTAATTAAATTTTTAGTATGTTATCAAATTACAATTAACACTTCCTTTAAAAGACTGAGTAGTTAACAGCTTAAATAGCAGATTAACAAGGTAGCTGAATTATTATTGTATAAAAATCTATATAGTTTAAAAAAGAAACCCAACCTGTTGTATATTTTTTAAAAAGTTATATGGTAAAAGAAAAGAAAACAAACGAAACCCTGTACTAAACTACTTAGGGAACAAGAAGAACAATACAAAGAAAAAAAAGTAGGCAATTAAAAAAATCTTAATCCATAACTACAGCTGAGAATTTGGTGTGAATTTCATTCTCACTACAAATAAGGTGAATTTAAAAGCGCAGAGGCATAGGTCCTCACCTTACGTATTATTTTGAGAAAACGTATTTGATTTGTCAACTGTTAATGAAGTTGTTAAAAAAAACACCCCACTGAGGAATAAATTTTGGTTGGTGAGCAGGATAAGGAAACAGAGGAGGCGTCATGATTTCCTCCACCAGCAGATGGAAGTATAAATCCAGTTTATGAAACCGTAAGTCTAGCTGCATCTTTTGCTTGAGGTTGGAGACAAGGCGTAACAAAAATGGGATGCTTTCAAAGATGTGTATAAAAACTCAGCAATCAGTTACTGTGGATTTTTTTTTTCTGAACAGCACTAGGTCTATCCTGAAATTTGCCTGCAGTTAAGTGGAACGCAACGGATGGAAATCTGCTGTTCTTCCTCAGTTCCATCCAACACGTTGACCAGGCAGGTTGTGTATCAAATCATCTCTTTTCTTTTCCTCTCCTCTTTCCCTTTCCCCATGAAAGCTGCTCAAAAAGGAGTGGAGCAGGAGCAGGCCTGGCTAACGCTTTGATGGGAAATCCCAGAATTCCCAGGGCTGTTACAGTCCCAACGTGGGAAATTGGAAAACTTCTCAGAAGAAGGCAGGGACAAATTTTTCTCAGCTGTGGTCAAGAAAACTTCAGGGAGGAGTCACCAGGAGCCCCACTAGATGGGCTCTTTACCTTTCTCTCTGCACCCCCCAGCCCAGCTGTTTTTGTGACACCTTACCTAATAAATAGATCTGAACTTCCAAAGTATCCCTGTAATTTGGTGCATATTTGATTTTATGGTACTAAATATATGTTGACGTTGTTCTTATGGACCAACCTAGTTATTGTGAAAGAGCTCATTACAGTAGTTATATGGGAGTTGCTGAGAGTTGGGCAGCATATAAATTTAATAAAATTATTATTGCTATTGTTATTATGCCAACATGAGTTATATTTCTTACTTCCTTTTGGGGGGTGTTCTCTCTCTCTGGCAGGCTTCAGTGGGGCTACAATAAAGACCACATCCGGTGCTGAGTGAAGGAGGCATGGCAAGGCATCCCCCATTCCGGAAAAAGATCCCCTGGACCTCTAGGGGTCATCATCAGGGGGCACCCATGCATGGGTGGGTCAAAAAAGTCAAGATGGTGGCTGTGGCCATGTAATTAAAGCCCCGCCTCTTTTTTATGTGCATCATGCCAAAAAAGGCACTTTGGCCACATGGCCGCAGTCACTGCCTTGACTTTTTTGACCCACACCCCTGCAGACATCCCTGGTCTCCATATTAGTCTCAGTATGAGACACTAACCCACCATCTGCATCTGCTTTTTTCACAATCCATCTGTAAGATCATATGCTCATGCTAAAATGTGGCAAACAAAGGAATCTAAACTATCCCAGCATACAAAACCGCCTTCTCTTTGAAACACTCTCGCCTTTGTTCGGAAGGAAACACATGACGATGGCGGAGACAGCCTCCTTGTTTGCCTTCTCTCTGCCCGAGAACCGGCAGCTCCTGGAACGGCCTCTTCCGCACCCTCACGTGGGAACGTGAGACCCGAAGTCTCTTTGGAAGGTCACTCAGAGCTGAGGCTATTTCAGATGATGGGCTCCTTTCCAGCCCGGGCCCAGCTGCCACTTGCCCTGAAATGTTTGGAAGTCCGCTATCAGAGGGGAACACAGATCATGGTTTATAATTAACGCAATTAAAAATAGCAATTGAATAAACCAACTGCAAGAAGGGCAGGGAAGCTGTTGTGTAACCAGCAGCCCAGAAGGAAACGCCAGAAGAATGTCATGATCTAAAACCGTCCCAAGCAGCCGAAGAAGCTGGACCCCCAAAAGGCAAGTACTTTCAAGCTTGTTGACAAACTGATATTCACTGAATTTGGTGCATGCGTGGGGTAGCACAGTGTCTTTTCCTGAGCAGCTGGATGACAACTGCAAGTGCATGCGCTTTTTCCTGCTTATTGGGGACACGCCGAAAGAGCTGGCTCAATTCCTGCCAGTTCCTACTCACCAAGCTTGTCTTGGTCCATAGGGGTGATGTAGGTCTTTCTCTGAGTAGGTGGGGAGAAAACCCAGGCAGGCTGCCTGAAGAGCGCTGTCTAAGTGCAGAGGAAGATCAAGACGGGCTTAAGGATATGTGTTTAAGGTAGGGATATCCTTACACAGTTCCCAGATTGGAGTGATAATTTACAACTCCAAATACACCTAAGCAGAAAGTTGAATGCCTCTCATACCCCAAGCTGGTCTGATGCCTGTGGCAATCCAGGCAGAAACTTTCCCATCGTTAGTGTGGTAGGATCACAACTTTTACCTGGAACAGGAGATGAGGTATCATATTAGGGTCCTTCCACAGGAGGTCTTTGCACCTTGCCAGAATCGGTTCCTGACTTCGGTTATCTCATGACATTGCCTGTGTTCAACAGCTGGACCAATTTATTTCGGTCTCAGCGATGATGTATTTGAGACCAGCAGTACATTAGCATTTTCTCTGAAAAGCAGTGGAGCATGAAGTAACTCCATTACACCATTTGCTGGGATTCCTGCCTTGTCCCATTACCTGGCTCCCTGGGGACAGCCACCTTGGCGGGTCTTTTAAGGAGAAAGGTGGCATGAAGGGTTTTTATCTCCTCCTCATAGGAACTGCTTGGATTTTATATATAACCAGACAAATGTACAGAATATGAAATCGGTCTACGGATGGGAGAGTTGCATATACAAGCAGTTTATTTCCCTTTTGCATGGAGTAAAGAATGAAGGGGTTTTTTGTTACTCCAGGACCTGGGGCAGCTCATGATGGGACAATCCTTAAATGAGATTCTTTGTTCCTGGTTCTCAGAATTCAAGATTATCAGACTTGAAGGTGATTATGGGTTGTCTTCAAGATGCTTTGAAAGATAGGGGAATGGAAGCTGTGATTATGGGGAAGTAGCCTCCATCTTTGTCTTAAACAGAAAACCTTCTTGGGCTGCCCAGCAGTTTTAAGCATCAGTTTAGTATGTAAACAAGGCTAACAAATTACAGGGAAATTTATTCATATTGTGGAATCTCCATTTCAAGGAATGAGGGTGTTATACCACAGTTTTTGACCATGTTTAAGAACAAAGAAGTGAAGGAACTGGTGGTTCGAGGACTGGGAATGATTGTCTGAACAGCCTGAGAAGTAAAGACTGCAATTGCTTGAATAGCTCAGATCCTAGAGAGGAGAGGAAAAGCCCAAGGAAGGAAAGACAAGAAATGGAGGTTGAAGTGGCAGCAGCTGGACCAGGAAGCAGGATCTGGGAAGTGGGAAGGTTTCTGGCTATGACTTCTGTCTCCATGGCTGGTCCAGAGGTCAGAAGGCACAATAATGCCCCAGAGTTGAACTTTGGCTGCCTGATTCATGGAGGTCACCAGTGGATTACATACGGTGTTTCAAGACAGCACTTTGTAATTTAGGGGCAGTTCCTTGAATTCCAGAAGACCATGGAATGTACCACTCTGAATTGCAGGACTTCCAATGCCCCAGCAGGTGTGGACAGTCATCATCTGGTGGACTCATCCAGGTCCTCCAAGGTAACCTGGCAGGTTCTCTTGGGAGGAAAGAAAGAGATAAAGGAGAATGCCAGACATTGCTCTGATGATCTGCCAGAATCTTTCCTTTTTGTCAGACTGTGCAGCCTCCCCCTCTTCATTCCCTCTTTCCTCTCTGTTCCTCAGCAAAGCATTCTTTCCTTCCTCTATCTCTCCCAATTCCCCTTACTCTTCCTTTGAAGCTGTCCTGCCCTTCTTCTGGAGTGACTGTTCCCTCCTCACCATTTCCAGAGTACGTTCGTCTTCTGGACACAGCAGCCCCAGGGCTGGGGCTAAATACTGGGGTGGGGAGGGTGGGGGTGGGACTCTTTCCTAGAATGCTTCTGCCTCTTCTCCTCTTAGGGGCAAAAGTAACCTCCAGTGCCAGGCGTTGTGAGCAATGCTAGATAGGCCTCAGAAACAAGAGAACTTCATATTTGTTCTGGAACAGAGGCCAGAACAATAGAGCAATGGCACTCTTTTATTTTAAAAAAATGCCTTCAGAAGTTACAAATTTATGTTAGAACAATTTTGTCCCCTGCTACAGAACTTAGAAAACTTTTTATGCAGTACCAGAACCAAGTCAGTGAACTTCACTCAAGAATTCCAGGAGACTCCCAGTGTATGTTTACAAGCTTTATTTTAGCAGTCCACACATCTCACATTTCCTCTCTCAATCACACAAATCGTACATACCAAGAAACTCTGTCATTGGCCAACTAGCTGAAGGGGTGGGGAGAATCCAGGAAAGCTTGAGGTGATATTCAATGGAGTAGAAAATGGGACTTCTCCTTTCTCCAGAATTTTTTTTATTTTTTTGTATAGGATGTTGGATTACCTCAGCACTGTAGCCTGAATTGTAACTGATTGATGATTCTTCATCAGTGTTCATCATCCACCTTTGTGGCATCATTAGGATGTTCTTGTTTGTGCCCAAACCATAACTGTGCTATAATCTTGGGGAATACAAGAAAGTTGTTGAGATGATGTATCCAAGAATTCTCTGTGCCTTTGCTGCCTGATACATTTTGGAATTCATTTGAACTTCTTGCATATACCATCATCTGTGACTTCCAGTGACAACTTCCACCTTTTAAAGTCTGGCTATTAACATTTTCTGTAACACAGGCTGTTTTTTCACAACATGCTTAACACCAGCAGTTCACCTTATTGGTCGTTCTGGCAGCATACCATCCCATAACTGGTTAAAACTCCCCATTTGGGAAGTACATCATTTTCCCAGAGCTAGGGCTGTGATGGTTTGAAAAACGAAGAACTTACTTCAGAACACGCCTAAGCACAGCCCATCTCTGTTATTCAGCAAAGCAACTAGGGCTTTTTAGAGCTTCAGTATAAGCCTTAAATAAAGATGCTGCTGCTTTAAAGGTCGTATTGAGTCAACTCATTAAAGCAACTGCTTTTTCAGGCCCATGCTCAAGTGACCTAGAGAGGTGTTGCCCTTATGAGATCCAACATACTTCTTCCAAATCAGTTTTTAAGCATGCGGAACCCTCCCCAGCACCCCTTCAGTCCTTGAAGCAAGGAACCCAGACAAAGCTTCATGACATCATTAGCCCCACCCACGTTGCCAGGCAGGTCATGGTAGGAATAGCTTTATTCCTGCAGTCTAACAGTGTTTGGGAGGTATCCTTCGGGTTGCCAGCCCCTGGCATGAATTCTGCAATGAAGCAGCTTGATTGTTTTTTAACCACTCCTTTTTTTTCCAACTCTTTTTCTCGGAGGACTAGGCAAAATGAGCTAACCAGCTGAGTTTAGGTTTCCCACAAGACAAATGGATTTAGTTTAATCCAGTTCATGACTGAGTCTGTTTACTGGGGGGTTAGTTGACTAGCTCAGCTGACTCCGACCCATTATCTCCAGCTGATCCAGTCAAATGTGCTGTGGGAACAGGGCTATAAACCCCCAACAGTCAAACTGATATGGATATAAGGTGGTATA